GTGCAAAAACAGCACGAAGAGAAAGATGATGGACATGCATAAGCAAAACGTGACCAATCCATCGGAGGCAGTGTAGAGCGATTACTTCTTTTAGAGAACGACTGTTAAACGAAACCGATGTTCCCACCAGACGCAAACAATGCTTTGGAGACGTCGGTGGTCGAATACAGAAAGTCTATTAGTATCCTCAACGCGGGGAGGTCAGGTCTCACAACTGTAAAGCAGAACACCACCAATCGCGGCAGTGCATATCTTTGCCTTAAGGGACAGTCGGATGTCATTGCAGCGTCACAGATTGCCATACGCTGCCCTGGTTTTCGCTATTCCTCTCCAACATCAACACCAGCTGCGATCAAGCTCCCGAGGTACTTAAAGATCTCAACCACTTCCAGCTGATCACCAAAGAGGGTGGGTGCAGGTAAAGCGAACGCTAAAGGAGATTAAGTTATTCCTCTTGATTCATAACAAGAAATGATCATGCCACCAAGTGAAAGGTAGCCCAACAAAGCCACAAAACACAACTCACCAAATCGACCGGCTCGNACCGGCTCGTCCAACACGATGTAAATAAATTTCGTGTTCCCAGGGCACCTCCAAACTCACCACTAGATTCACGTTCTCCGCATCAATACCTCGTGAAGTCTAATCGGTGGGGGAGGATTGAAGAAAACACATTACATCGAGATATGCACTTTGAATTCAAGGCAGCATGCGTCCATACTATTGCATATTTACTGTAAGTTTTCCTTAGCTAAACATTTATTTTTTGGCCCGAACATCACAGGCATTCCTTCTCTCTGGGACATAATAGGATAATCCAATCGGTTATCGATTCACGTGACTAGAGGAACCAACGATCGTCCACTGGGCGTTACCAAATCTAATCACGGAAAAATAGAGTTTACTGAAAGAAAAATAGGCCCCAAGCTATTATTGACACGTGAACATGCTACATTAAAATGACCAACCGGGAACAATCATGTTACGAGTAAGTGAGTGCATTTTAAACGACATTACACTAATCAAGAGAGCATGCCGGGTTTAATCAACAGTACGTACTGTTACGTCTCGGAGAGAGCTTATGAGTTCCCCAACCAAATACCTCACAAACTACTTAAAAGATCAAGCAGATCCGTTGATGTGGTATGGGTATTGAAACACACAGAAAGAGAAGCGAGCAAGTATCACAAAGTGAAATCAGGCCACAAGGAGCTGGTTCTATGATTGCTGCAGACTGTTTGCTGGAATGGGGAAACGGCTTATCTCAAGGGGATGACGGTACCAAAACGCGAAGTTTCCATTTGACTGCCATTCAAAGAAGATGAGATGAGCCAAATATTAGAATAACGACTTGTGGAAATTGTGGCTCACACATATTTTGTCCGCAACTCCTGTCGTTCGCTCAAAAACCCAGATTCCAAAGCCCACTCCTTCTATTCGGTTAATCTCACGTCATGAACGAAGTTCAATGAGGGAGCACGGCCATCCGGCTGGACACAAAGGAGTGCAACTACACATCTCAGTGCACTGCGAAGATTGAGGGCTACAGTGGCAACTAGTTCGTCAGTCGATCGCTATCTGCAGCAAACTGGCCACCAGGTTAGAGTGACATCGTTCCGAGTTATTCACACAACTTTGGATAGATGGCTACTAAGATTTTACAGAGGTTACACCGATCATAAAATGAAAGCACTCGCCTCCACACCCGATATCAGTAGAAGAACGCTCACGTCAGTCTGTGATTGTCATGACAACGAAAGAAGTAAGAGAATGAACTGGTGTTGGGTTAGATTATTATCATTTGTGATATATAAACTATATCGTTTTCCGTAGCAAACACCGGTTGAAGTGCAACGAATGGTCCCGGAAGCAAATCACGTTCAATTACAGTTTGTCTTTTATTAACGTTTTTCCCGGGAACTAAATCACGTCATATCGCCAAGAAAACAAAATCATGCATCAATGTAAGCTCGAAGGACAGAAGGTGAAAATGAGTCTTGAGGCAGAGAGAAAAGCATGTAAACGGGAGTGAATAATACCAAGAACGTACCAAGTCTGTGGAGACGAGTACACGACAGTGAAATGCTCGTAAACGATTGAAAGCGCGAAAGCGCTCGTTCTGATCCAAATTACTGGAAATGTAACTCACAGGCCAACCACGCGAATGTAACGCGTCACAGAGTTCTTGAGCACTACAAGATAGGGGAAACGTGTTCAAACGATTGAGGGCAAGATATCAGAACGGTAAATCAATACGATATAGAACGGCGAACTACGTCAAAACTTTCAAAAGTTCTTTTGTAAATAAACCGGCTAACTCGTGCTACTTTCTGTTTCAACTTTTAAGCAATGTTGACGGCATTATCACTTTTTTATGCACTGAGAAATGATTCAATGGCAAAATTCTAGCGGCTTAAGTTGCTGGCGCGCACTGGTTTTCAAGATTCGTGGCTTGAACACAACCGCTAGCACCTGGTTCAACACCACATGTACTCTTCTGGAACCTAGTGTACTTAACGAGTCAGAGCCAAAAAGATTGAGATTGACGGGTTGCATCAGTAAACAGTAATGATTGTGGAGTGCTTGATAAAAAGCGATTGGCTAAGCAAGCCTGAAGTTCATGTTCAACTGCCATTTTCTTGTCAATAGGTGGATAATTATTGTTGGTCTTGAGCAGTTCATCCATCAGACTTTAACTCCACACATACACAGCCACAAATCTGTAATTTATTCAATCAAACACCTGAGCAGCATTATACCCTTTGGTCGTTCATGGCAGAGCTCATCAGTAGTGCATTTCAGTCGATCCACCCGGGTTTTTAACTCTAGATCCCTGGTGCGGAAGACGTATGTGCCAGCACAGTGCAAATCAGCTTACACCGGGGATTACTGGAGCAGTGTTCAAGTCAAGTTAAGTACTTGCTTTGTGCACTCCGAAATGTGAATATTAAGCAGCCACATAGACAAAGTACAACCAATAATCAGGCAACATTACACCAGAATTATCGAGAGGAAGAAAAAACAAAATTTACAATATGAGTGAATTTGGTTCAGAAGCGATGTGTTCTGTGTTTACCGAGAAATGGGGCAAGATAAGACACCAAAGAAGAGCGATAGGCAGTTGTACGAGGAATGACGCAGTTATATGAAGNATGAAGACTGTGCGGAAGAAGAGGACACTTTATAAGATCTGCGTGTAAGGAATACGAAGAGCTGTTCGTGATTTTGTGGATAACGAAACACATAAATTTGTATGTTGTGAAACAATGAAGTGACTGAGCATTTCACGGGAAATCCTGCTACTTCTACATAAATGTGCAAAGGATCTGAAGAGCGATTTGAAGTCCTTCTTGAGCATCCGAGAGAAGATTACGGGGACCTATACAGTCAAAGGGGCAAACTACTAGTTGAAAGAAAACAGCTATTCAAGAAGCGAGGGACGGGTAAAGCTTTTAGCTTTGATGTTTCTAAATACATAAATAGTTTGGTCTAACCAGCATAAATTTCGTCTCGTTAACACACCGAGATACCGAACATTTACGGGTTGGATAATGGCATCATCACGTATGTTTATCGCGAGACAGGATTCTGAGAGGTTTGCATGATGATTCCTTTTGAGAAGTGAGAATAGCATGCCGGCGAATTTAGAGGGATTTAGAGTTAAGTTATATGCAATGGACCACGCAACAAGGTTAGCAAAACCAAGTTGAAGCATGGAGGTGAGAGATACATCAGGGTGGACAATTTCAACCACAACATCGTCCGCGTATTTAATGAGTAGGGAATTTTGAAAAGTTGGCATGGACGAACTGTAAGCGGAAAAGAAAAACGGGGACAAAATAACATCCAGTAGTAGCCCTAGTGTAGAAATTAAGGGAGAGGAGGAACGAACAAGGTGAACTGACATTGATTCGTAGTCTGTGAGCGCCGCGGTTATAGTATGTGATATCCCATTGGAAGATATCGCTGTAATCCAAGAAACATCCTGACAACTCCCTTATTTCCATCAAGTGCTGATAGAATATAGTGAACCAGAGAAGTTAGGGCATTTAGTGTGGAGCGAGAGCGGAGGTACGCAAATTGGTTAGGGTTCTTCACATTCAGCTGAGATGACATTCCTTGACGGAGAAACTCCTAGAAAAGCATCAACACAACAGACGTGCATGCAATGGAACGGAGGGATGGAAGCAGATGTTCAAAAAACAATTCCGTTTTCCAGGCACTGGTTAAACAGCTCCGTTACCACTGGCAAAAATGTGTGAGCGCAGCCTCCGGCCGGTCGGGACCGGGTGATTTATTGGGTTTGCGAGTCATTAACTCCTTTAGAACATCCTCTTGTTGAATAGGAAAGGATTCTGGACGGATGAATGCGGTGTTTGTGCTGTCGACGACCGGCCCAGACTCCCTGTTGCTGGTACCTTTATTGAATGTTCTATTTAGCTCCTCAATATCCAGTGTTATTCGAGACATGATTGACGGTTGACCAACCAATTGCGTGATGATACTTCAAGTTTCCGGCCGATGATTACAAGAAGTGGGAGGAGTAGGGTGGTAGAACACACTGAAGTTTGTTTGGGAAATCATCAAACTGAATTTCTCAAGGTTCTCTGGATTACAATTACGTTTCCTTATTTAGAGGTCTCGATTTTTCGTAAACGCTGTGATTGAACTTGTCG